AAACCTATTGACTCTTTATGTGCCTGAAAATGTCACCTACATGCTTGATTGATAGTTTGGTTGGGTTACATTCAAGATGGGGAATAGTTTTCCTTCAGATACATGGCTTGATTATCTTGCAGCTTCCAGTCTTGTTTTTGAGATGCACAAAGCCATTTTGATTCCTGATCTTTTGAATGTGACCTTTTTCCCCACCTTTATTTTTTTTACTGCTCAGTAGCTTGTAGAATCTTCTGTTTTCCCACAGTTATTCAGAATATTTGTTCTGTGTGTGTCGTAAGTCTATTTGTATTCATTGAGCTGGGTAATTGATGGATCCATTTAATTCAGAAGGTTGTATACTTCAGTTCTGGGATTATTATTTTTTTTCCTTTAATCATTAAATTGAGATTTTTCTTCTTTCTGTTTTTTCTTTTGGGAGGCCTTTCAGAATCTCCTTGACGGCAATGGGATTTTTTTGTTTATTATTGAGATGGTGGAATTCCTGGACTGGTCTTCTGTTTATCTCTTTTCTGTTTGTTTCTTTTTTTTTTTTTTCTCAGAAATCCTCAACTTTAACATCCAAAACAAACCATCTATTGATTTTTTTTTTTTATTTCTGCAGCCATGTTTTAATTTTAAAGAATTCTTTCCTCTGAGTATTGCTTTGTTACCTCATTCTGTTGTTGCTCCATGGATGCTGCAGGTTCCTTATCACTCTGAGGGTGTTAATGATAGTTGGTTTTGATTTGTGTACCTCTTCTTTTCTAAGCCTTTGTTTTTCCTTGAATGATCTTGATTTTACCAAGTTTCTTTTATTTTGTTCCTTTGAAGACTACCTTTCCTGGTGGAGATTTGTCTCAGCTGTTTGCGTTATCTGTTTATATTCAAGTAATTAAGATGCTGACTGAAAGTTCTAAATATGGGTATGAGGCTTGTTGACCTTGAGTTTATCTGTTGGATGATGTGGCTGCACAATTTGTTAAAGAACTTGTGATCAGCACTGTTAGGTCCTTCTTATTAAATTGGTCAAATTTGCCAAAGAAAATTAAATTATTCTCCTGCCTGGTGGGTAGATTCTGGCTGCCCTGGGAGCTGAGTGGGGAAAATTGTTTAGCACTAGGAAAGGTGGGAGAGGAACTAGGGATGTAACTTTTTGATACGTTAATAGCTTTCCATAGATCATCCTTGTTTAACCAGTCTTTCCATATCCTCGGTCTTAAGGTACCTCCTTGTATCTGCCAGGAGAGGATAGATTTTTGGTGTTGGTAGCAAACAAACCCCAATTTTCTGTGACTTAAAATAACAAAACCCATTGTATGTCATCCGATTTGAGGGTCACAAACTAAGGGAGTCTCAATCTCTGTGTTTTTCTATTTGCCAAGGCAGAGGAAAAGGGAGCATGGTAAAAAGTACCCTAGATTTAAAACACCCAGCACATTTTGTTGGCCAAAGCAAGTCACACGGCCTCTCCTTACTTCAGAGGGGCAGAAAAGTACAATCTTATATATGCCTGGAACGACAACCCAGAAATATTGGGTGAACCTCACTAATGCCTGCTGTTGCTAGTTCTTGGACTTCTTCAGTATTCTGCATTGCAGATTTGCTTACACTTCAGCTTTCGCTTGCTAGCTTGGGATTTGGCTTTTTGAATCTGCTAAGCCAGTTACCACTTGTCCATTTTGATTTTGCTGTTGTCTTCTCTGCTGTTTCCACTATTATTTGAGATTATATCGTGAAAAATTCTTTTACTCTACGGTAATTTCAGTGGAGTTTCAGAAAGGAGTGACATTGATGGGTATGTCCAGTCTGCCATATTTACCCGAAACACTACGGTCTTCATTTTCTATAAACTGAATGAGCTAATTCTGCAACTTTGCAGTTTTGATAAAATATTTATTTAAAGAAAGTGGTAAGATAGATAGTTAATAAAAAAAAAAAAAAGTATTATATTGGCCAGTGTGTATTGATGTGAACAGCGTTTTGCTCTTTCTTGTCCTTTATCTTTACAGTGGGTTTAATAAGATGCCTCTAAATGAAAGCATAGTAATTATAAATAACAGTCCATTTGTTGAGTCTGGGAAAAGCCAGCTTATTAAACTTCCCAGAGATTTATTACTTACTTAGATGACAAATCCATTTGCAAGCTAGAAAGCTTCAAATTCTTTGCTATTATCTAAATTAAAGTAGCCCCTAATTTAGTTGTTCTATCAGCTCTCCACTGCCATAATAATGTTACCTAATGAATAATCACAAATTTTAGTGAACTTTTTTTTAAATTTAGTACACAAGTATTTTTGCTCTTGAGGTTGTAGGTTGCCTGGGCAGTCTTGTTAATCAAGGTCAGCTCAGTTTTCTAGACTGGGCTTACTCTTGCATCTGGTTAGCTGTGCCTCTAAGGGTTGGAACCAGTTCATTTCCGGTGCCTCCCTTCTCCTTCATGTGGTCTCTTATGTACTTGCTAGGCTTTCCTGGGCACGTTCTCACGATGATAGCAGGGTTTCAAGAGAAAAACCAAAAGCACACAAGGTCTTTTGAGTCCTAGGCTTGAAATTGACACACCGTCACTTTTACTGCGTTTTCTTGGTGAGTGTAAGCCACAAGGAAAGCCCAGGTCACAGGGTGGGAAAAAGACTCCCTTCTTGATTGGAGAACTCACAGCATCGCATTTCCAAGGCTGTGGATAACAGGAGGAGTGAGAATTAGGGCTGTTTTTGCTAACTCTGTCTTCTAGAGTTGTCCGGTGATAGACCATTAAAAATAAATTTTGGTGACAAAATATAAATTGGGCATATAGCTCAGGAGTATAAAGAGTTGAGTGACCTTGCTGTTAACCAAATTCCTACCACTCCTTGGAAACCCTATGGGGCAGTTCTATTCCGTCCTGTAGGGTCGCTATGAGTTGGAATCGACT